TTCGGTGCATCCTGATTGGCCCCCTGGAGCGGTTGCAGCCATTTTGTCATCCTGAAGGAGTGAAATCCAAAGGTGTTGCCAGCACAGTGAGAAAGTGCAGAAAGCAGCACAGGGGAGTGGAAACCCTAATTAAACTGCGTATCTCCATCGGCCTCATTTCTGCCCTTTGCTGTTATTTAAGCCAGTTTAAGGGGCATTTTCTGTTATTTGTAATGGATCAAAAATTACCTTACCAAGAATGGTGATAGGCACTGGGAATTCAGTGGTGAGAAAGATGAAGGGCCTAGCCTGCCGTGCTCAAATTTTAGTAGAAGGAAGTAGATAATAAACAAAGGGATTTCATCCCTAAGTGGAGTATCGTTTGCTTTTTTAATCTTATTTTATTTTTGTGAGTGCATGTTTGCAGTATGTAGTGATTACATTCCTCGTGGGGAGTCGGTATGTGGACATAACACATCTTCATTCTTTTACGTCCCCTTCCCCTTCCCTCCCTTCATCTCTTCGACCCCTCCCAGGTGCAAAAGATCTACCATGACAGCAGACACACATAGGCCATCAATCAGGGAAAGCCTTTCTGAGGAGGTGACACGAGCGATGAGACCTGAAGGGTGACAAAGAGCCAGCCATGGAAGATCTTGGAGACAGGGAGCCGGGCAGAGGCAACAGTTAACAGGATGCATGGCCAAGCAGGCTGGAGAGTCGGGCCACAGGGGCACTAGATGCCATGCAGGTAAGTGGCCTGGCATGGGCTGTGCATGGCACCTGAACTTTCCCTGGTTGACACAGGAGCTACCAGAGGCACCGCCTGTGATTATGGTTTGAAAGGAGCCATCTCGCTGCCGGGCGCCAGTATGACCACAGGTTACAGGTTCTGCACGAGGGGCACAACTGGTATAGCCCAGGTGGGAGCAGGGGTGCAGGGTGTGTCTTCCCAGAGGGCCCTAGTAGAGAGGAAACCGCAGTGTATGGAGATGCTCCAGGCGGGAGGACATGCTGCCTCAGAAGCTATTTCTGGTTTTCTCCATTACTCGTTTGCCTTTGGAAGCCACAGACTGACCTCATGCCTTGTTGGGTTTTCCCCCTCTCAAGACCACAGCAGCAAGGCTCCAAAGGGGATGGCATCACGGGACCAGCAGTGGCCTTTTCTATGTGCGCTTCGGGTGTTTCTAAGGTGGTGCTTTCATGTGCTGTGATTTCCATTCAACATGATTCGTGAACTGTGAAGCCAAGTGGATTAAAACCGTCAAGGAGGCCATGGCGGTCTCCTGTGTCTACTTTGTGCACCTTCACAAGCTCAAGTATCGCATGGTTTCTCTTACATGAGAAACTCAAAGTACAAATCAATTGAAGAGCAAAATAAAAGAAATAAAAAGAAGCGGGGAGACAGATCTTCCGAAAAAGGGAAGGAGACCAAGAGATGGAGGGAGGAGGGCGAAGAGGGGAGGGAAAAGGGATGAAAAGAGAATCAGATGTGTTGCATACACGTGCCAGCCCCCACTCGGAATAAAATCATGATGTGCTTTTTGCAAACCAGTGAAAATTAAATTAAAAATAGTAAATTGTGCCTTTGGCGTGGCACTATAGAGGATCCTACCTTTGCCTAGCTAAGTTATGTTTATTTCAGCCTTCCAAAAACATCTCCGCATCTAACAATAAAAACATACATTTAGAGGCACAACTCTTGAATGTACAGCAGCGGTTCTGTCCAGCAGACAGGACTGGGTCCAGAGATTTTCAGGCCCTGCCCAGAGACTGAGCCAGGTCTAGGGTAGGCCTGGGAAGACTGTCCTTTTTACAATCCCTCTGAGGAATTCCAGTCCACTTAGAACCACCCTTGGGTCTCCAATGCCCCTGTGTCCTGGACAGCCCATCTGTCTTTGAAACAAGGCTATCCCAGTGTTACCTGAAAGGGGATATTTCTAAGAATTAGCTGGAGCCCTTGGAAGCAAAGGAGTTGGAATGCCAGCAGGACACAGGGCGACAGCCCTTCGGGGAGGCATGCTGGACATACCCAGAATTCTCCCTCCTAATCAGTCGCGAGTATTTCTCAGCCTTATTCCTTTAGTGGTATTTGAAGTCTATTTGCCCTCAAGTGAATTTTAAATAAACTATGGGGCAAGCTTTCTTTTCACAACTGTCACCCCAATTCTGATGGGTCCACACCATCTCGGCACTCTCACACCCCAACGAAGCTGAGGGTGTCTGGTCTATGTGCAGTGACCCAGAGCTCATCTCTGATGGTCCTGTACACAGTCTCCATGGCACAGAGAGGGAAGTGACATGTTTAAAAACCAAGCTCTGGACATGGTCTCCATGAGCCACCAGCAAACAAATACAATTTTACAAAGCAGAGGCTAATATAACTTACTATTAAGTGGAACACATCAAAGTGGTATCACGGACACTTTTTTAATGACAACAGATGGTCCATTTTTACAAATTACACGCTAGAATAGAACGAGTACAAAATCTATCGAGACAAAGGTTAGAAAAGCATCACTTACAAAAGTAAGTATGATTCCAGTGGCTAAAGCACTCATGCCCCCCATGGTGACAACCAAACGACACACAGCTGAAAGCACGGCATAGCACGCGGACATCCTCTCCCCAGTCAGGGCACCACTGGATGCTACAGCAGAGCTGGCAACGCTAGTGCCTGGCAGTCCTAAGACTCTTGGCACGACATCCAGAGGCATCTCGGAACAGGCTCAGCAGGCAAAAGTCAAAAGGAGAATGTACAGACATTCTTGGCAAACTGTAAGGTGCTGTGCAGACGTTAGCTATTGCTAGTATTCCTGTTCAGTGAGTGCTCACTGAACACGGGACGAGGAAGGCTAATCTGTATGACTGACCAAAGTGACTCAGTGGACATTTAAAAGTGAATGAGGTGTTTTTTTTTCCTCAAGTACATAAAGCAGTAACACAGGTAAGGAAAGTGTGGCTGGGTGCAACATCAAGAAACTCTGGACTAGTTTAAGGAATAGCTAAAGGATAAAGCTATACACTACATATATTTATGGTTAAGTTCCCAAAGTCCCTGAAAATTTTAAGGAGACTCCCTCTGCAAAGGGAAAAAGAAGTCTCACCAAGTTACTCATGTGCACTGCAGCCCAGCTCTCGTAAAAATGATCTTAAACACGAGTAGAATCTGAATTAACACTGTACTATAAGGTGGGTGACACAGAGCACCTGACAGCACAGAGCACCTAGCACTGACCTAAACCAAGTGATAAATTTTGTGTCTTCAACCGTTTATCAAATGGGCTTGCAAACAGTATACAACTTCACAAGGGAATAAATTAAACAACAAACATAAATTCATCTGGAGACAAGAAAGACACACTAGATACATTTAAAATCAGGTTTTGATCCTGTCTTGGGTGCCTTCAGCTTTAGTCTTTCTTGGGGTACACCTTAGGTTTCTATCCACGTCCTTTTACTTTACATATAAAATCAATACAAAATGGAAAATGAACATGAAGCCAATGTAGTTAAGACAACGCAGGTTTAAATTTCTTCACTAACAGCACAAAACCAAATTCTTCTGTCACATGGCAAATGGCGTCAGAGGCACTGTACAGACTCAAATTTTCAGTACAGGAGGAGAAAGGGCTAGAGTGCAGGGCCAATCAGGCAGTGAGGAAGGTGCTGTAAGTCAATAAGGATAAGTCAGTAGCTTCGACTGCCACTTCAAGTCACATTTACTAACTGAGGTCACTGTCACAAAACAGCTTTTGAACAACAGCAAATATATTTGTATCTTAGAACATGTATAAGGGCAGCACGCCTGCAGCTGTGCTTTCTATACACCTTGAAGTATATACATTGTGCAAAGGGAAACCAGTGCGATACCTTGAAAACTAAATCTACTGGTCAAATACTGTTGTTTAACATAATTAACAGCAGCAAACTAGTGAGTTAATACTTAAAACCACAGGAAAAACTAACTGCTTTGAAAGCAAGCCTGTTTTGTAAGAACCTTAAATATCAACCCTACCATCTGATTTTCACTTTCAGTGTCTTGGTAGTTTTTCCAAGGGAAAAAAAAATTACGTGTCTGCATGTATCCTTGGTTTCAACACTTGGAGAAAAATGACTGTATCATTATCTACTCAGCAGACGTCTGAAAACAATAATCCAACCTTGGACATTATATGTTACACACAGCACTAACATATCAAAAGTATGAAGAAAATCTTGGCATGATACAAAAAGAAATTATGTGGGATAACTTAAATACAGCAGCTCACCTAATAATGGAAACTTACCATATAGTACCCTAGATTCAAATGTCATTTTACTAAAACTGTAGTCTTTACAAAAAAAAACTTTACATCAGGAATACATGCTTAAAATAATTTAAACTGTAGACAGTGTTTAACTTTAAGAATTAAGAATAGCGGCTGGGGATTTAGTTCAGTGGCACTGTGCCTGCCTCGCAAGTGCAAGGTCCCGAGTTCGATACCCGGTACCAAAATTAAAAAAACACCTACAGAAGAATTAAGAATAGTCCTATAATCATCACACAGATCTCTTTTTCTCAACAATTATCCATAAATATGTATTTGACTTTTATGCCTAATAATCTATTCCTTTAGTCCAATTCTGCAACATAAAAATAGGAACAGTAGACAAACAAATCTGTAAAGGTAAACACTTAAGCCAGTACCACTGTATTAAGACTAATAATAGGACTAGTAACAGGACATTTAAATTTATTTTAACAGAAAAATGAAAACACAGCAAATGTACATGTTATACTTCTATGTTTACATTGCATAATGTCTAAATTAGGTTACACATCTCTTTCCCAAACATTTCTTTATGGGAAAACATTGAAAATTTGAATTTTAAAAGAATAAGATAGAATGTGCTTTTTTAAAAAAATGGCCAACTGGGCCGGGGATTTAGCTCAGCGGTTCCACTGTCTGCCTTGCAAGCGCAAGGACCCGAGTTTGATCCCCGGTACCAAAAAAATAAAATAAAAATTAAAAATAAAATAAAATAAAAATAAATAAATAAATGGCCAATAATCCCTGTTCTGAAATAAAAAGGCAAATAGCTGACAGGTAAAGGTGGCAGGATTTGAACCGACACCAAACTTTTCATGTATATGAAGCAATGCAAAACGTTTATTCCTGTTCAAAAACACATTTTTCCAGTTTTTTAAAGAGAACATAGATTATGGTTTTATAATTGAAAACTGGGGGGACAGTGTTTTCAGAACGCACACAAAAAATACCTAGTGGCTATAAAGTACACAGACTAAAGGTACTAAAGTAAAATGACAGGGCTTGGGAGGGTTTTTCCCCATCAAAAAGGACCTCATAGATTATCTAACCATACACCTATACATGCAGGATGTAACTTAGCTCCAATCAAAGAGACCAGTGGACCAGATATCCCAAGAATATCCCTTGGATGATAAAGATGATCCGTTTCAGGATTACAATCTTAATGTATGTCAAAAAATGAACACTTCTAATACAAATTTCTATCATGTACACTGAAATGTAAAAAAAAAGCAAAAGGAGAAACAGTTTGAAATGGAATTTCAAAAAACCCTGTTAACTGAAGCCTAACTTCAATGCTGAATGAGGGGTAAAGGTCTTCATGAAAAGCTGGTCTGAAAGCACAAAAGTGGCCATTAGCTCCTCTTTGCTCTCCAGACCCTGCAACAGGCCAGTCTTGTTAGGATGTAGTCTAGTTTCCCCTTTAAATGATATACTTTATGTACATTCATCAGTGACATTAAGATGAACCTCAGGGCCTGCAGTTTATGCAACTTTTTGTAGGAAATCAGAATCCCAAATGCAAGGACCTGGTATTTATCCAAAGGGAAACTAGTGAAATATCTTGAAAAGTAAATCTATTTGTCAATTACTGCTGTTTAACATAATTAACAGCAGCAAACTAGTGAGTTAATACTTAAAACCACAGGAAAAACTGCTTCAAAAGCAAGCCTGTTTTGTAAGAACCCTAAATATCAACCCTGCCATCTGATTTTCACTTTCAACGACTTGGTAGTTTTTCCAAGGAAAAAAATATGTATGTCTGCATGTATCCCTGGCATTTTCCTGATATTTTCCTGACAGAGAAAGTGTTCCAGCTTAAAACAAAGCCCAGATTTGCTTCACTGCACGCTATCTTATATCCAGAGGAGCAAAACTGAAAAGCAACTAAAAGACAAACTTCTATAAAACATTTCCCAAAACAATGTGTACCTCATTTAACATATCCATTTGTAACCAATTTAACTTTCCAAATTCTCATTTGCAAAGGAAAGACTCAGTTAAAATTGATTATAAAAACCACTGTATCAGATGGGTCAAAATGTACACTGGTCAAATGTGATTCCTTAAGATTGATTTTTAACATATTCTTTCAACTTTATTAAAATAAAATGTACTCATTATCAATGCTCACAGTAGCATTTACCGTATTTTTAAAAAATCGATTTAATGCTATCAAAAGGTGATGTCGTGTTAATCTTGTTTTCCTTCACGCCACTGTCGTGAGCCTTCATTCCAAGCCACATACACAAAAAGAGCCAGCACCACGTGAACAGCAACCACTGCAACAATAGCAGCATAAAAATAGCTGTCCCTATTGGACATCCCAAGGGCACCTATCAGGAGAAAAAATAAGTTTTCATTTTATTCAAAAATTTATTAAAGTATATAAAGCACAATAATTATCAGCTGTATGTATAACTAGTCAAACAATTAAAAATAATATTTTTGAATGGCAGTGAATCCAACACATTAAAAGACTTAAATGTGTTCTATACACAAAAACATTATTTTAAATGAAACCATAATTATAACTTTGTCTAGGGACTCTAAGAATGAGACTTCACCGTCTCTTCCTTTCAGTATGTAAAAAAGTCCATTCCCCTACAATCTTTTCCCATGTCAATCAACCTCAGTTCTCAAGCAGATATTAAAGGAACTACAAGCTGTTCCACAAAAAAAAAACTATAAACATTGTTAATGTCACAAAGGTAATCAGTGCTGCCTTACAGAGAAACAGCGACAATTAGGCGACCCTATTAATATCAAGCATATCAGCTACAGCAGTATCATGCAGGGCAAACTGGATATTAACACAACGTAATATCCAATTACGTACCATCCGTAGTCCAACAGAAGAAATCAGCAATTACGCTGTAAACATTAAGGCAACCCAGGTACAGTGGACCCTTGAGCTTAAACCAGCCTGACATACAAACGACTTGGGTTACAACTGGAATTTTAGTTTTAACTTACAAAGTCTTGAGTTATGATCTGAATGCCAGCCGCCTCTGCTTCCAGCTGATCTTAGATATAGATTTAACCCTTAAACAGTTCCACAAGGAACATGACAGCATCCTTTCCTGTATGCGGTTCACTGAGAAACCCTGGGCCAGTGTCTCTCTAAGGACACTGAGATCTGCTGTATACAGAAAAGAGACTGTGAAGGCTGTGTACAGGAGCCTGAGCCTTCACTGACCAACTTAAGTTACAGCCAGCCCTCAGGAACGAATTGAGTTCGGAAGTCAATGGACCACTGTAAATGTACTAACTGTGACAGGTATATCTCCATTGATGATAGAAAAGAATTCAACAGTAATTTTACATGGGTAATGATCAAAACATGAACAAAGCTTTATGGAAATACTATTAAAGATACAGGGGCTTGGGAGTGGGAGAAGGCAGATGCAATGTGTACATGTACCAATTCCCTACAAGGAATGTAATCATTATGAACTGCAAATATGGACTTAGAAAAAGAATAAATTAAAAATAAAATATTAAAAAATCTGGGGCTGGGGATTTAGCTCAGCGGTTCGGTGGCCTGCCTTGCAAGCGCAAGGACCTGAGTTCAATCCCCAG